ATAATATTTTTTATTTTTAATATCTTTTAATTTATTAAATTGATTTTTTAATTTATTTTTTCTTAATTTTTTTAAATGGGGGTTTTTTTTTATTTTTTTAATTAATATTTTTTAAATTTTAATTTTTTAATTAATATTTTTTTAATTTTTTAATTAATATTTTTTTATTTTAATTTTTTAATTAATATTTTTTTTAATTTTTTTAATTAACATTTTTTTATTTTTAATTTTTTAATTAATATTTTTTTAATTTTTAATTTTTTAATTAATATTTTTTTTTATATTTAATTTTTTAATTAATATTTTTTTAATTTTTTTAATTAGTTTTAAATTAAATTTTTTATTTTTTAATTATTATTTATTTTATTTTTAAAATAATTTTTTTATATGTTTTTAAATGATTTTTTTATATATTATTAAATTATTTAATTATTTTATTCTTTATATATTATTTTTTATATATTAATTTAATTTTTAGTTAATTTCTATATGTTTTTTAATTTAAATTATTTTTAAATTTACTATATTTTTTATTTTTTTATTTTTTTAATATATAGCTCAAATGTCTTTGAGTTTGTAATACTTCCTAATTTCTCAGAATACTATTGAAAAATAGTATTTGCAAGGATTCTCTTTAACAACATGCTTTCTATAATGTTATAATTAATATCTCTAGATTTTTTCTAACTTATCCTAACTAGAACTAGTTTATTTATTTAAATTGATAATAGTATTAAATAGAGAATAGGAGGTGTAATATTATATTAGGTGATTTGTAGCACAAATATAGTTAAAAATCTTTACTATTCCTTAACCCATCAGATTTAGTATACAAATTTGTACACTAAAATATTTTGAAGAAAAATGGGCTTGAAAAAAATTTTTTTTATAAAACTTTTATTCTAATTGGTTGTAGTAATTTTTCAAGACCCGATTTACATAGTACAACTGTAGCTATAGAGTGAAATACTCTATATGACCTACATAGAAGGTACAAATTTACACAATGGCTAAAAAATGGATTATTTTACTCATACTTTTGAGCCATCTTATCTCTTTATCATTATCTCAAAAATTAATTATATGAAGTTGGTTATAAAAAATCTTTGATCAACTTTAAAAGTTATATTATAAAAAGAACCCCTGCATAGTGATTGTAAAAAATCTTTATAAGTATCACATGAAAGTGCCTTTTTAGTATTAAATTTAGACACAAATATTCTATTATAGTCTACACTAAATAACTGATTTTTGGAGTATTAATAAAAAAATTTTATTAAATAAGAATTATTTAGTAATCAGAATGTGGTATACTTTTATTTTAGCTTAGATAGTAGAGAAGTTAGCTTAATAAAATTTAGAGTAAATATATAAAAATTAGTCAAAAATAATTTTAGCATACAAATTTGTACGCTAGATAGTTTAAAAGATAAAATTTATTTTTAAAACTATATCTTCTTATTAATTAGTACTAAGTTGAAGAGTTTTGGCAGTTTAATTAAATAACTTATCTGTTTCTTTACCTAAATCTTTTTGATAACAAGAAAACTTTTAGTCTTTGGATTAATTCATGTTTATTATAATAAAGTTTCTACTATGATATTATGGGTTTGGTCAGCCAAATTTGTATATTTCTCAATCAAATTCATAATGTTACATGAATTTTTATTTTGATCTATCTTTGATAACTCATAATCTAGTGATTAGATAGTGATGACTCTGGTACTACTTGAATTTTCTCATTGAAACAATTCGAATAGTACTAAAATTACCAATATCTGATCACTAGATAATGAGTTATCAAAGATAGATCAAAATAAAAATTTGTATAATATTATAAATTTGATCAAGAAATATACAAATTTGGTTAACCAAACCTATATATTAATTAGTGATCCATGAGTTAGCCAGAAAGTCATTATAGTAAAATATAACTCAGATTACTTATAGAAAATAGAGGTTTGTAAATATGGTCTGCATGAATCTAAAACTTTTTTTATACTAAGTTAATTATCCTTCTGGCTTAAGAAACTTTTGTAGAGCTTGTTAAGATGTATTTAATAGTGGGTAAAGTATTAAAATTAGCCTGGCAAGTGCTGAGATATCTTTAAAAAAACTTTCTTTTATTATATAAATTTCTTTGCAAATAATAGTATTGTTTGCAAAGAAATTTATATAGTAAAAAAAATATTTTTTAAAAATATTTTAGCACTCACCAGGCCAATTTAATGCTTTACCTATTATTAGATTTATCTTGACAAGCTTTACAAAAGTTTCTTAAGCCAGAAGGGTGATTAACTTAGTATAAACAAAAGTTTTAGATTTGTGCAGGCCACATTTGCAAACCTTTATTTTCTATAAGTAATTTGAGACATGTTTTACTATAATAACTCTTTGGCTAACTTATAGATTGCCAATTATTAAAAAATAAAAAATAAAAAATAAAATAAAAATAAAAAAACAAATAAAAGTCTACTTATTCTCAATATTTAAACTATTTTTATATTTAACAGATTTATAGAATTCAAAAATAGTTCTAAACAAGTATTCTAGCTATGTAATACAAAATTTTATATATTCTGTTTACTTAATATTTTTAAAAAATATACTTATAAAGAGTTGTACTTATATAAAGATAGTTTTTTATATGTTTAATAGTAATTTGTTTTTGAGTATAAAATATGATAAAGAGGAGTTTTTATATAATATAATTATAGAAAAAGTGATTGTAAAGAGTGATAACTATATTTAAAATTAGTTTATAAATATAATAAATTAATCAAACTTAACAATTTAAACTATTTTTTGTTTGTAAAAGCTTATTTTTTATAATTTTAACTAATAAAGAAACCTGTTTATAATATAGGCTAATAATATAAAGCTGAAAATTATAAAAATAATAAATTTTATAAAAAGAGTTAAAGAAAAATATTGTAAAATACTTTTTTTTTTTATTGCTTATAAGCTGTAATTTTTATTAATTAAGAACTTATGAACTTATTATATATTGTATATTATAGGAATTAAGTTGTCTATATTAGACTATCTAATGCTAAGCAATTTAGTTGTATTTTTGCTATATTAGAATTTAATCAATAGCTATTACCCTATCAATCAACTTCTAACTGGTATACGACCCATCTTTTCTTTATATATAGTTTTCTGTATTGTTATTAGTACCTTGTCTCTCTATCTACTTCCTGCAGCAACTTTTTTTTTTTCTAGATTGGTTTATTCTGGCAGTTTTTCACTCTTGTTACTCCCAAATTAGTGTACATAGCTTTATGTTTAATTTAGTACTACTCTGATTTTGATACATGTTGTGCTGCCGCCATTATGTCAATATCTTAAGCCAGCTTTTGGGGTTTGCTGTAACACAATCCATATCTCAAGCCACAACCTTCTCAAACAAGCACAGCCAGATTTATTGAAATTCTGATTGTTACTCTACAGTGTACCAAAGTTGTTATTATCTGTAGCATGAGCATCAAAGACTTTTCAGAATATCCGTTTTTTACATGTGGGTGTACTACTGACAATTATTTTTACTTTCAGCTTGGTACTGCAAGGAGGTCTGGAATCTTGACTAATGACACACTAGCATAGTACCTATTACTGAAGTTAGTAATATACGATGCAATACCTAATACAACTTCTAACCATATATAGATGCCAGAGATATTTCCAGAAAATAATTAGACCAATTTTTTACTACAGATCTTTCTTATATTTTAATACTTCACTTACTACTTTTAGTTTAGATATTAGTATTATACTCTCAAACAAGATCCCAGTATCCTAGAGTTGTTGGTACTGTTTAGAAGATCTTTAAAATATTCTCTGCTTCACTTACTACTTCCAGTTTAAAACATTAGTATTACCTTCCCAATCAAGATCCCAGACCATCTAGGTTGTTGGTGTTATCTAAGTGCCTTGAGAATTTATATGCATAACCTATTTGCTTCAAATCTTCTATAACTGCTACTTGTCACACATAGTGCCTACTTCTCTATAGTTTTTAATTTCTAGAAACTTATATACACAACCTAATTCCCAAACCTTCTATGACTGCTGCTCATCACATATAGCACTAACTCTCTATAGTTTAATCTTATTCTGGAAATTTTTTATCAAATTGGTACTATACTTGAACTCTACAGAGCTCTTTATTCGATTTGGCTTCTTACTTGTAGGTTATAGAGTTTTTTTTTGCCACCAGCCTGATTCAAACCACAGAACTTAACTTAATTTCCATGGGGTTTGGCAACTTAACAAGTAAGCTATAGAGCCCAAATCCTTGTGAAATACTTTAATCTTGTAACAATTATTAAATAAATTTAATTAGTTTAATATTAAAACAAATATTATAAGTTATTTTTGATGGGTGTGGTGACTTAGTGAAGTGGTGGAGTTGTCGCACCTGAAACAGCAGGTCTAGAGTTCGAATCCCACGGACAACGATTTTGAAAAAACTAGATCTGTATCGGTTAACGTTAAGATTATCAGTTAGATCCAGATATAGTCGATACTGTCTAAATGTATACTGTCTAAATGCATATACTGCCTAACTGCATACAATTTGTAGTTCCCATTCATGTTACTAATTATAAATACATAAATTGTCTATTTGCATAATGCATAGAAAAAATCTATAGGTAATTAAGCCTAATTTCATAATTTATTTTACTAAATGTCTGCTTTCCGCATTTTTATTGGCTACTTTTAGTCACATGACTCATTAGTATAACACGAATATGTAGATCGGCTCACGAAGCAAAACGCACGTATCTGAATTGTCTAAACATGGCACTTTGCCAAATTAAAATATTTTGATTTCCAGATTTAAATGTTTAATCTATTTTTCTCACCATCTAACCTATTTTATCGCATTTTAATAGAATAGAAATTTATATACTGTATAATGATAACTCTTACCTGTAATGTTGACCAGCACAGTTAACATAAATATCATATATTAATAAGTGTTTTATATAAATGTGCTATAATAGAATAGCCGCAACATTTAATATATTTTTGTTTATAACTTCTTCGGTATATAGAATAGCCGCAACATTTAATATATTTTTGTTTATAACTTCTTCGGTATATGGAGGCCAAGTAATGGCAAAAGTTTTTATAAATAAAAGAGTAATATCACAATGAATAATATCATTCGAATGAATTAATTGAAGGTCAAACACAATATAAGATAATAATTCTAATTTTTTTTCCTCATTTTATTCGTGCAATAGCATAAAGGTTCTGATGTAAAGATCCTATTTGTGCATATTATATAAATGATTAAAAAAAAAAAATAAGAATAATCCTATTATTTGTGCGCATTGAATGAATGATTAAAAAAAAAAATAAGAACATATTTGTTTTCAACTATGTCATGTTTATTTCGGCCTATATCTACTAATATAAAAATGAAAAAAAAATAAGCAATAAAAGACAAACCTGTAAAAGCAATTAATTAAGTAAAACTCTTACCTGGTATCCTACTTGCATAAAGCTATCTAATGTCGCTTGAACCTTTGAGGAGGAAACTTGAAGCCGAATGTCTCGTTGCAATAAACGCAATGTTCTAAGTACGGCATTGTGGTCAGAAATAGTTGTGTCAAGAAGACTAATCACAGTACGTATAGCATCGAGTTTAACAGAGTTTGAAGGTGTAGTAAAAGAAGAACTACTATCATTTATATCATCAGCATCATTGTCATTTTCTGGGGTTGTTGATGCTAATAAGTCAGCATCTGTAAATTCTTGATGTACCAAATCTATCTCTTCTGGTGGATTTGTATAATGAGCAAGGCTCATAGGGTGGCGAGGGGACAACGTTTTGAGTGATTCTTCCAACTCTGCGAGAACAGATGAATCTTCATCATTTGGGTGAACTTCACGGGTAGAGGCAGTTATTTCATAATCAAACAAGCCAGTATGGGGAAAACAGTTTGTGATAGTTTCTGGAGGAATTGAATACCAAGCTCGAACACACCATTGCATTGCTGTTAGTTGGTCAACTTTATAGATATCAGATTCCTCAGCCTCATCACGGTCAATAGCATGTTATAATAAAAAACGACGATATCGGTGTTTGAAGGCAGCAATAATGCCTGCGTCCATTGGTTGAAGCTTGGAGGTGGTTCTTGGAGGTAAAGTGACAACCTTTATATTAGTAAGATCTACATCACCAACTGCATGCGAAGTGGCACCATCAATAAGAAGGAGGATGTGTCGATTTCATCTTGCATCATACTATTAAAGTTTACAATCCATTCTCTAAAAAGAAGACAAGTCATCCAGGCTTTCTTATTATAGCAGTAATAAAAACCAAGCTGCTCTCTAGTTTTGCCTTTAAATGATCTTGCTTTGTTTGAATGACCAATTATAAAGGGTTTTAACATATGCGAACCATCTGAATTAGTGGTAAGGGCAAGGGTAAGACGAGTTTTGTCTTTTTTGCTCCCTTTAATTTGTCTTCTGGCGATTGTTTTGTCTGGCGCCATCCTGTAGAACAGACCAGTTTCGTCCATATTGTAAACATCTCTCGCAGCATATTGTTTAATAGTTTCACGTAGTTCAGGCAAACTTCTTTCGATTACTTCATTATCAGCAGATCTGCTTTCTCCATGAATTCTATGCATTTTAAAACCATAACGTTGCTCAAATGAAAGCAGCCAACCAACAGAAAAATCAGGTGTATTACGATCTTGGGGGTCAAGACCTAGTTGTTCAGCAAATTTTCGTCCTTTCTCACGTATTAACTCCCCAGTTAAATGAATTCTTCTTGCTTGACATTGCAAAACCCAGTTTGCTAATGCTTCATCTAATTGTGGTTGGAGTACTGTACGGTGGCGTTTAATTCTAAGGTCCTTTTCATCATCAATCTTAAGATACTCTTCCTTTTTTGCAAGAATTCGTGAAAGAGTTGCTTGGTTGGGGGCATTTTCAAGACCAAATTTTTCTTTGGCCCATTTTGCGAGCTCTCCTTGTGTGATGGTTGGATCATTTTGTTTTTTTAAACAAATTTTTTTGTGCTAGTCATTTGTTAGGCTAATTTTTTTTGAAGACATGAAAGAAATTTTTTTTTCTTTTTTACTTTTTTTTTTTTTTTTTTTAAAAAAAAAAAATCTTGATATTATGATTGTAAGGCGCCATGTAACATACGATGAAATTCCATTTTTATAAACCAGGGTTTTCTTAAAATCAATCCTTCGCAGAATTCATCACTACCCCACAGAGAAATATGTTGGTCTGTTCAATTTATATTAATTGTTATTTATAAATTTTTGGTATTTGTTATTTAATTTCCTACTAATCGGTTTGTGTTTTTTTATATGTGCCCCTCTTGAATAGATCGATTTTATCTTTCATTTTATTTTTTATTTTTTATTTTTTATTTTTTTTTATTTTTTATTTTTTATTTTGATTTTTTTATTACTTTATTTATTATTCATTTACAGTATTTATTTTCTTTGCAAGCCCATTTTTCATACCACTCTAACATACAACGAGTTTTCTCTGTTTCTTAATTTAAATATTCAGCTAAAAAAAATATGAAGTTGTAATTTCACTTCATGCTTTACTAACACCACGTCTAATGCTTTTAAATCATTATTATAGGCGATGAGGTGTGTATCTTAATTATTTATTTGATTGGAAAAAGAGTGAATTACGACTTACGCACGAATGTACTAATTCCAATTCCATTTTATATGAATTTAATATTAACTATCATTAACTATCATTAACTACGTATCATTTACTATTACGTATGATGTTAACATTAATGCCATTTTATCGCGCCCTGATTTATGTAGTGCAACACTAAAATGGAGAAGCGATTGTGTGCTTAAATTAGCTTTTGCATGCATAATCGCTGCTACTTAACTAATTATGTCGATATTGAGTTATTTAATTGTTATCCCATTACATGATCAATCAAATTTGAGTGTGTTACTAAGGAATTTTAAATACAATATAGAATACATGATTTTCACCTGGCAGCACTTATCGATACTCTAACTAAATGCTGTACTATTGTGTATCCGTAGTCATGACTTAATTATATTAAACAAAGATAATAAGTGCAGTATATTAGGCCGCATTTGATTGGCTGATCATTATGTTATACAAACTGTTACTACTGTCTTAATGCATATACTGTCTAAATGCATAAAAACTTATCCAACGGATAGTATGCATTTAGACAGTATCGACTGTATCTGTAATCTTGGTCACACCATCTCAAATAGGAGCTTTGGCGTAATAAATCCAGGAATCCGGAATTACCAAAAACCCGTTTGGTAAGTCCCGAGTTGGAAGTAGCAGCAATCTTTGATGGTGCTACAGGAAGACTAAATTTGGAACTGGAAACTGAGACCGGAGAACCGAGTGACCAGGTCCTTAAGAAGGGGGACACCAGCCGAACCGCCGGGTTGCCAAACCGGAGGAAAAGAACATATGCTCTGAAAGTATGTACCAAGGGAAGAGAGACCGTAAGGCACCTAAAGCCTGGGCAGACTGACCCTCCGGGTTGCCGGCTGGAAGTAAGGGAG